ATTAAAAGGACTACTAAAGCTACATTTTATGAATATCACATAAGTATATCTGGATGCAGCCTCTCTGTATTAACAGTTTTCAAAGCAGTCATGTTAGTCTGTTTCAGCATGCTGACAAAATTAAAGGTGCGGGGGAGGGGCAGTTCTGGTAATGAATGTGAAAAAAAGTTATGTTTTTTTTCTTTTACTATGTTTTCTCTATACACAGTGTTCATTCACTATTATCCACAGTTTTTAGTATCTACAGGGACAGGCTTGCAACCAATCCACAGCATATTTGGGAGTCCTACTGCATATTGGTTTGGGCCTTTTTATCATTTTCCTTTTTTCCTCTTGGAACGGCAGATTCACGTGTCATGTGACATTTGAAGTCCTTCACCCCCAGCGTCTGTGGTTCAAGAAACACAAAATTCAAACCTCCGGGGGGGGGGTGAGAGAATTCAAATGTTATTTCACATATACAATTGTTATTTGCGTCACTGGGAGCTACCGTATTTTTCCATTTATAAGACGACCCAATGTATAAGACAACACCCCCTTTTTTTCTAACCCCAAATTAGAAAATTTGATCCCTGCTTTTCCCTTCCTTTTGCTATGTCACCGAGCTTAGCAAAAGGAAGGAAAAAGCAGGGATCAAAGGGCTGCCTTTGGCCGCCACTTTTCCCTGCCTTTTGTGAAGCCACGGGGCTTAGCAAAAAGGGAGGGAATGCTCCTATTGGGTAAAGGCTGCATGATCTCAACCCTTTGATCCTGAAGCCCTTTCACGGCTACTTTATCCACTTGCTAAACCCTACAATCGTGCAGCCCTTTCACGGCTGTTTTACCCGAAGGCAGCCTTCCCTTTCTTTTCGCTAAGCCCCACACCGTTGCAGAAAGCAGGGAAAAGCGGCTGCCTTCCATGTATAAAATGACCCTCAATTGTTTGTCTTATTATTTAAGGAAAAAGTGTTGTTTTATACATGGAAAAATACGGTATTCCCTTATGTAAACTGAAAGTGTAAGGATGCTAGGCCAGATCCAGGGATGGGCATGGGAAGAGGATTGCTAAAGACCCTACCTTCCATGTTAGGATCCATAACAGTCTTGTTCCATCTCATATGGACTATTTGGGAAAGAAAAACCTTGCACTAAGGGCAAAGCACATAGTTAAAATAATACGAGCCTCCCCTTTCAGTATCATCTGGGCCAGCTACCCCAATCTATAGGAAATGGATAAAATCTGTAATAAATTCAGAAGCCATAATTCCGATGAGAACCCAATCTATAGGAAATGGATAAAATCTGTGATAAACAAGTTAAGAAGCCACAATTTCGATGAGAGTCAACTACCGTGTTTCCCTGAAAATAAGACAGGGTCTTAGATTAATTTTTGCTCCAAAAACACATTAGGGCTTATTTTCAGGGGATACTTTATTTTTTTTCATGTACAATCTACGTTTATTCAAATACAGTCATGTCAGCTTCTTCTGATTGCTGCACAATGGTGGAGGGTGAGGTTTCACTTAACTAGGTCTTATTTGGGGGGTAAGGCTTATATTACGAGCATCCCGAAAAATCATACTAGGGCTTATTTTCAGGTTAGGTCTTATTTTCAGGGAAATAGGGTAATACAATGCCTCAGTTTGCCTCTTCCAATGTGGTGCCCACCGATGCCCTCTGGATGGACTTCTCTTGGTGCTGCTTGCACAGTCTGCCATTTTAATTTTAATTTTTAAATACATGTTTGTTTTTGCGTGTTTGCTTGTTTGATTTTTGATCAGGCAACAGGATATCTGCAAAGAAAAGTGCACTCTTAGGAAATATGGTGGAAAGCTTCTACCTTGTACTCAGGTTCCTGGGCAAGTCACTGGTGCTTTGAAAGCATCCATACCCCACAGGAGGCATTTTGTGATGCCGTCCATGACAGCTGTGCACGCGATGATGTCACCTGCCTGTCATTGCTATGGCTGGAGTTCATCTGCCTATAGCAGGACAGGAGGTGGGACTTCAGAGGGAGGAGCTAAGGTATATAAGGGGGAGTGAATGATGTGTGAGTCAGATAGGGACTTGGTTAGGGTCTTGATAAGGACTAGATAGGGCATGTGCAGGTTATGAGGTACTGTGTTAGTGAAGGTCTGAGTGAGAGAGTGTATGAGGGGATACTTTATGATATTGATTGCCTTATTTAGTTAATACAGTGATTTACTATTACTTATGTTGTATCAATATTTTTAAAATCCATACCATTGTCTGAGGAGTCAGATATGTGTGTGGTTGGTGGCAGCGTGTAAAGTGTTTGAATGAGAGTGACATGACACCTCCTCTGTGACGTGAGAGGAGGCTGTCACAGCGTCCATGACAGCTGCGCAAGTTTCAAAACATGCTCACAGGCTCAAAATGTTTAGGAACTCCAGGTCTAATCTTTCACATTTGTACAATTTCACTGTTTCCAATTCCTGGGACGCTGGTATTGTCTGTTGTTGAACTTTCCATGTGTCAGATGCCTCAGAAATTTAATTCCACACTAGTTTTCCGAATGGCACTTAAGAGAACTCCAGCTGCTTCTGATTATAGATGTTAAGTACTTGAAAGACGGCCAGAGGATATGCACTATTGTCATCCTGCTGATGTCTATAGAGACAGTTATGCTTTCACCTGAAATAATTATAATTCCTTCCACTTTAAAATTATCACTGTCTCTCTCTTTCCCCCCCTCCCGCTTCCCCTCTCCCTATCTCTCTGCCCCCCAGTAGTCTACCTACTTGCATTCAAAGTCAAACTGGAAACTATTTGATCTCCTCAATAAAATGAAGTAAGTTTGAAAAAACTACTGAAGGTTATCATGACAGAAGGAAATATTATCCATAGAATTGTCGTATCCCAGAACCGCTTGAGGCTCTGGAATTGTGAACATCTGCAGCAATTACTATTACTTAAGAGAGAGAAAAAAAGAACCAGCACACATTTTGCACAGCAATTCTAATTAGGCTTTGCTTCAGAACAGGTAGCACCATTACTTCTCTTGTACCAAACAAGAGAACTGATTAGAAAGCTAAAGCAGTTTCTTTTCTTCATTATGAGTATAAATACAGGACTTCTCTTCAGAATGCCATTCTCAGTCTGTTTTAGAAACAACAACAATCAAAAACTACACAAACACAACTTTTATTCTGACTTGCTTACACAGCTCTTCAACATGATTGTCTCGCTTAACATTCCTAAATATACAGGGGAGGGCTCCCTGTCACACCTCTGCTGTTCAAACATATATTTTCAATATGAATAAACAGTTGAGATTTCCTTTTACACAAATATATAGGGTTTTTTTCCCAAAAACCTTTTCCTCCCTTTGTGTAAAACTGAGAAGAAACGAACAGATGGAGCACCTACCATTGAAAAGGTATATTTGCCAGTTCTTCACATCACAAAACCATAAACTGTAAATTGCTTCTACAGAGTTTCTAGAGTCAGTGGTTTGTGGTTTGCTCTTCAGATTATACAAAACAGAATAATAGTTCTTGATTATCTTGTGTGTATATGGGATAGATGGATTTCATTTTAATGTTGAGTGGAAGAACAGATGTTGTAGGGTTGATAAGTAGAAAAGAAGAGGGTTCAGCCATGTGAATCAAATAGAATGGGAGAAGGATAGCGGTGCAGTGTTTAGAAACATAAGTGATTAAAAAACATTTTTACCTTTACATTTATGGAGTAGAAGATAGTTATCAACTTTTCAAAAACTGCTGTGCACATAGTGTACTTTTTTAAAAAAAAGATTGAAAGCATTAAAATTTCAGCATTCTAACTTCTAGCCTGCTCGATAGCGCCATGAGCATCCGACTGAAGAACTAGGGGTTGGGAGTTCTATCCTCAATGTGCCTTCTGGGAGGAAAGCCAGCCTCCGTAGCCTTGGGCAAGCAAGATGGTTCTAGGCACCTTCAGAAAAAGGGCTGGAAAACCCTTTCTGAGTATATCTAGAAAACCATGAGGAGGGTCACCATAAGTCAGAGTTGACTTGATAGTACACAACTGTTATTTATATTTATTCATACTATCTATATATTATTATTACATTATTAATAATTAGTCTGAAGGGATGAAACGATTCTATCTCTAGACAAGTTTCTGGAGTTTTATTTATTTTATTTATTAAATTTATACCCCGCCCCTCTAGACCATGTCTACTCGGGGCGGCTTACAGCATAAAATAAGACAATATAAAATATAAATAATCTTAAAATACAATTAGTATATTAATTAATACA